CCCATGAGCGTACTCGAAATAGCGCGCAGATAGTCAAAATAGCGCGCAGATGCCTGCTATTTCGAGATTTTACGGTAACTAATTTTTTCTTATATATCTATTAAAATAAAATTAAATATACACCCACTAACGCAATGATACTGTTTGTATAATTTAAAGATCATGCCAATATTAGGTATTATGAACACATACTTTTTAGACGACAAAGTTTATCTTCACACATTCAAATTACTAAACAATCGATTTAAACACTTATAGTATACAATTTAAGAAAACGTACCAATAGAAGAAAAATATAATGTCATGACATAAAAATTTTAAAACTAGATTCGAAAAGAGAAGAATAAGAGTTATATAAAATCATTTTCAAAAATATAAAACTATTAAACTTTATTTATATATATTTATAATTTTATTTAATGAATATTTAATTATCAATAATTGGTATTACGCTGCTCGTCATATCTAACTATTAGTTGGAATGGATGGCAAATCACCCATATATGCAATTTTTAGTCATTGTACTGATCCTGATTATTGTAGAATATAATGCTACTATTTTTTCTACCATTTTTGTTATGCTTTTTGGATTCTCTCAGATGATTATTTCCCCACATCACGACTTAAAACAAAATTAGAGCCATTAATTATTTCCCAAATACTCTTTAAAAATTCTCTGAATTCATCCGACATTAAAGAACTATTTATGTCATCGTGTAGTCTTCTTATTTCATCATACCAATTATTCAACTCTAGATCATCACAATTTCGTTTTTGAGTAAATGCTGACGCATTGTCAATATCCACGTTATCATTCCGTTCGACAGAATTTTGCGATAGTTACAGTAATTTAGTTAAATAATGTTTCAATCCATCAATTATATCAGCATGAGTAGCTTGTTTGATAATCTTCAAGTGCGAAGGTTTAAAGAAGCTTACAGTATTGGAATAGCTCTTAAATGCATCGCATATTTCTTTTAAATTATTTTCAAGTTGTTCGCTCAAAACATAATTTTGTTGATGATGTTGTTGAATGAAAACATCAGCATTAACTCTTTTTTCCAAAATATCGTTAAAACACCAATTCGTAATTTGAGCATAAGCCCCAAACTTACTTAAAATCCAACAATAATAAAAAGCCGGAAATTTTAAAGGTGCAAATGGACTGTTATTATTATCATCCAATCTATTTTCAAGATCAAATTCCATGGCTTTAAAAAACTCATTCTCATGATTTTTGTCAATCAACGAATACAGGAAATCAAGAACTTCTGTCTTTTTCTGCTTTTTGTCCAATCGAAATGCTCGAAATATTTCAATTAAACAGTGACGTAAAAATTTGCCTAGTGATTCATTCTTTATCTGCAAAAATGCTTGTATCATTGTATTTCCAACCTCATCTAATTTTCTTTCAATTAACAATATTTCTGCAATGACAGTATAATCTAATTCAAATCCAAGCTTGATTAATTCCGATAGTCTCTTAACTACTTCTTCAGGATTTGGTGGTGTCCAGTTAGTTGCAGATGCTGGAGAAAAAAGCAAGACAATAGCACCTTGCATGACCAATCCATTAACATCTTTACAAATATTGTGATATCCAATCTTATGCCAAGCAGTCACCAAATTCGGATGAATCAGTATTGCTCTGGCAATTACATTAAGCTGCCTATTATT